AGCTGTGCCAAACTGGAGCACAGCCTGGCCTTACCTCTCCTGTGAGTGTGAAACACGTTTCACTTAAGTCTGCTGGAGAGGGACCCCAATGGGGATTTGGTTTATTGTCAGAGTGATGCAGTCTGCAAATCATTTTTCTGCTGAGTGAAAGCCAGATGCAAGTTTAGGCCAAAAGATCATGCCGTGACTGTGATACTGGAACTCAAAGGGACAAAGAGTGTAAATAAGTGTCCCACCTGATCTCCCAGGTGGTACAGCAAGGCCAGCTCTTGTGTTGCTAAGAAGGGATGCTGGAATGCTGCAGCTAGCTGCCACTATAGACCACAGCCAGGCTGTAGCATCTTGGTATGCCCTATTGTAATCCTCACCAGAGCCTGCTGGCACTGCAGAACTGAAAGCTAGGGGATTTAACATCCCAAATTGCCATCCATCAGAGCTCATGTAAGGGTGCCAAGAAACCTGGGTAACCTCCAATCAGGCATTAAGCTTCCTATTTGGAAGGTCTGCTGAGCCATGAGAACTGGGTTGATACAGATCCCAGCTCTGCTGACAAAGCAATTCCTGTCACAAAATCTCTTGCTTTCACAGAGACAAATTTCTCGTGGCCATCACACTGTCAGACACTGAAACAGATTTAAAGCCTTCATATCGTCTCCCATCTGCTTCTACAGAAGTGGAGTAAGGTGAAGTACTTGAGCAAAGCAGTTGACTATTTGTGTGAAGGAATATGTACAGCCAAAGTGTTCTTCTCTGCCTGGATGGATGCATCTCTCTGTGTAGGAATAGCTTCTATCAGCCTATAAGATAGCTTCAGGAAAGCCAGGATTTTTTAATTATTTATTTATTTGTTTGTTTATTTAAAGTTAAAATATTCTATGGGCTAAATATAAGCATGTATCATCATGGCTCTGGCTGATCCACTGGAGAGATTAGATAGTAGGGCAGTGTTCTTATTCTTTGTGCTCTTTTCCAATTCCTGCATCGCACAGTTGTTTCGCTGCTATTAGCATTGCTTTATGTTAGTCACCAGTGAGTACTATTAAGGCCAAGTCCTAATGCTCTAGATTTTGAAGGAATCATCTCTGGTTAATTCCAGCAGAATCCCTGTGAGATACAATGACTCTGCCTTTCTGTTTATGAATAAAGTTGCTGTGAATGCACTGAGCTTTTCAAGAGCCAAATGAGTCTCCAGATATCTTGGTTTCTATGGCAGGAAGCACTCTAGAGCAGGGAGAGGACTAGCTCAGGTGCCATCTTCTTGGCACCCTGTTGAAATGGAAGAGATATGACAGCTTTCGTTTTGTTGAAGAACTATGGGAAGTGAAAGGGCAGTGTAGCAGCCCCACTTTCCTTGTGCACGAGTCTAGAAGAGCGAGTAACAATCCTGGTCTGCTCAAAATCTCAATGTTTTTTTTTAGGGTCATCTAACAGCAGAGGGAGGAACGCATTTTCCATCTTGGCCATGGTCTCGTGTCTTGGAATTTATTTTTCTTCCAGATTTTTGCTTGCTGTTTCCGTTGCACTCATGATTGCATCTTCAGACATGTATCTCCCTGCAAGCTGTGTATTTACATCTGCAGGTGAGTGGATATCAGTTTAATAACTACTTCTGTTTAAGTGAAGGATGGGATATTTTATCAGCTCATACTTTAGTTCTTATATTATGCTTTTGTCTTCTTGCTTAAATTTCTGATTTTCACATGCACTTTCTACCGGCACTGAACTCTCCCTATAAGTATTTCACTTCGGAGCTCACTTATACTGTCTCTCCTGATTACATCTAATTTAAAGGGTGGGGCTGAAGAAAGAGTGTTCACTTGGAACGAACATTTAAGGCAACTAATTGAAAAAAGAAGATTCTCATTTAGTGCATGTTGCAGTGCTTTAATTGACAGAAATGAAGTCTTAATAGTTTTCACCAGCTAAAGATCAAGCCTATTTCTTCTTTATCACATTACATGCTGTTGTCAGCTACTAAATTCAGGGCTATCAATATTGCATAGATTTACACATCTATGCAAGTCTTTTTGCTGACCATATGTTAATTTAATTGATTATTTTCTTTCTGCACCTATTTACCTTGCACGATTAGTAACAGTGGTAAGAATAAAAATACTGTTAAAAATAAAGGTAAGGAATTTGAAAGGTCAATATGTTATTAAACTCCTGGTGGAACCAACAAGATTGTAGGTAGCACAGAAGAAAGTCAGTGGCAAGACAGAGCACATCTCTTCCAAGTAATGATTGTTGTTCAGCGATGATTTCCATGAACCGTTCTGCTCTGTAACCTGATGCCATGGGAGTTAAAATATAAGTAGTATAAACACAGTATAAGAATTACCCCCCAGATTTTCCAGTACTTTGGAGATAATCTGACAGTTCACATGGCACACAGTGTGTCTAGTAGTCAGGGATGCTGCTTAGTGATGGGCAGCTCTGGAGTATCTTACTAATTACAGCACCACCACTTTCCATGGCCCTTTTACTTAAATGGCATTTTTATTTAATTTCAGTCTCTCTCAAGACTAAATTGGATAAGAATTTCTTGCAGAAAACATTTTCTAACCAAGAAAATGTTAACAATTTGATTTTCATCCTTGCTCTGCAACAATTTATAAAATAGAAATAAATATGAAAGGCTGATATGCAATGAAAAATATAAAGGTGAGAGGCTGAGAGAGGGAACCTAATAAACTGGTTCTGTTGTGGAAGAAAACATCACATGTCTGGTGTTTGTGTGGCACCAACAGAGGGGTTGTGGTTGTGGTTGTCACCTGCTAATTCATCTCCATTTTGCCCTTTCAAGGAGATTAATGTGGACTCCTAAATGCTGAGTACTCAAATGACTCATTTACTTCTACTCAGAAGCCCAAAAATGAGGCACTTTGGTCTTAGAACTGTGTCCAGAATGTTTTTCCAGGTGCATCATCAATAATTTCAAGAGTTTTAGAGATGCACAGGAGAAAAGCTGGTATACACTAAAGACTTTATTTATTTATTTATTTATTTATTTTTGTAAATTGTCGAAGATTCCATTTGTACCAGTGTTCCTGGCAAAACCTCTAGGATTTTAGTAGCAGTTAAGTCTGTTCCTGCTTTTGGGAAGTCATTCAGTTGCTAGTAGAACTGATCTAAATACTCATTAGAGGTAACACTCAACAAATTTTGTCCAGCTGGCAAATTGTGAACAAAATTATTGATTTCTTTCATTCAGCTCAACAGATACTAATATCAATAGGTACAAATATGAACATATATATCCTAGAAGACATGAATTATTTATAGTGAGTGAAGGTCTGAAAAGCAATTTCCTTTTGGAGACGTATGACTGGCCACATGAGTGACACGGTATTCTCTCATCCCTGATAGCGTTAGCATTTTAATTGCTTATTTGATCTGATGCTAGTCTTGATTTTGATGAAGTCTCAGTGATAGTATCAAGCCCATTCTCACTGAACATTCTTTCCTACAAAGCTTCATTATAGTGAAAGCTTATGAATAGAGAGACATGAGCCAGACACTTCCTGCTATTTGGCCTATTAGCTGATAAATGCTCATTTAGTTTCATCAGCTTTAGAACATGACTGGACTGGAGACTTCAGATCAGCTATATCCTGGTAAATAAATTCAGGTATGAATTTGGTATGAAAGAGACTTCAGTATGAAGTTGCTATTTTTGATTGTTATTGTACTGTATATATCCACTTTATTTTGAAAAATCAAAAAACGACTTCTCCAAATGTATTCATTGCATGCCCTGTTATGTTTAAGCTAAAAAATGAGCCAAGCAGCAGCAATAACATCAACATCAACAATATTTCTGTGTGCCAAAAAGGCAGTAAACTGCCAAGTCCAAGGACAAGCAAGACAACCATGCAGCTTAGTGAGTGGCTCTGTACTGCTGGATTATGAAGTCCAGACAGTGTTCTTCTACAGAAAGTGACTGTTGAGAACAATAACGTGATGGGTGGCACTGGAAGGGGAAGTTAAAATTTGACTACTGCCTCTGCTTCCCAAGAAAGAGAAGAAAATGGCTGTATTAATGTTCATACACAGGTGTGTGGGTTTGCAGTGCTTCAGTAATCTCTGAGCAATGTAGATAAGGAGAGGGCTAACTTAAAACAGATGTTCATGGAAGATTAATGCATGTTTGCCTTATTCAACCCAAGCATATCAAATTGGCTCATCTTGTTTTGCTACTGCATCTGTAATGGAAGGTTAACCATGGTGTACAACCAATATGTCCTTCCAGTGACTCCCTTGCACGTGTTGAATGCTGAACTGTGATGTAACTGTAGTGAATCCTGACTGCAGCTATTATGTGCTTCATGGGAACCCTGTCAATAGTGACTCCCTTCTTCTCTTTCCAGTATGTCTGCTCACAGTGCCAAATCACTATCTTAAAGATAAAATACATTATTATTAATTTTCTAAATAAATAAGCAGGTTCTATTCAGACAGTGCTCTCTCTCTGGTAAAAAATAATTTTCATTAAAAATACTGAAGATGTTTACATATTAAAATCTTTTGTTGACAGAATAATTCTCAACCTGGCAGGGTTTTTTAAAAATCATTATAAGATGACATTTTGGGAAAAGCCGCAAACAATTTGAAATCTAGACTAAAAAGAAATGCTACTGATTATATTAAGTGCTGATATTGAGTTTGCTTTTACAAAAAAAGAAGTACTTGATTATGAAGAGTAATTTTGAAAGTATGTGTGCATTTTTGTCCTTTACTGGGGACAAACATCGGGCACCTTATTGATGCTATCAATTAGAAGTTATAAACTGATATAAATGTTGGCCTGAGAGCCCATCTTTCCTAATCAGTGCTCTAGAGTGTGAGTGTGCATTTCTCAGTGAGGTAGGTTTCAGTTCTATGTATATAAGCACTTATTCAACTGAGATAAACCTCTCTAGTTCTATTTCAGAGGCTGCAGCTCAGATTAAATTTGGGCCAAGTAATAAATGGCCAACCCTCTCCCTCCGGTAACTTACAACTTTCAATTTCTAGTGTGCAGTTTTGTTCATCCAGAGGATATCTTCGTAGATCCATCATGCAAGCAGCTGTTGTTGTAATCCTATAAGAGGAGGGTGAAAAAAATCAGTTTTGAAACCGCATTTGATTTGTTTGATTAGGTAAATCTTTCTGTAGTGTATTTTTTTTTGGTTTAAATACTGAACGGTGCATGGATAGCTGGTGTACAAAACTGCTTGTGAAGCATGATTAAATAATTTATATAGCACAATACAGCAAATATAGTATAAAGCTTAAAAGCATACACTAAATATCATGGAGTAGGATTTTGACAGAAAACTTTACAAGAAAAAGTGCTGAGTGTTTTAAAGGGCATTTCTTGAGGTTTCTCATTGGACATTTCATTTTTAGTGTTCTTAATTCAAACATCTTCAAATTGGTTTGCACATTTTTATTTATAACGGGTACTGCAATAGTTCCATTTTTCATTCTGCTCTCATGTAATGCTTTCTAAGATTTGTCTGATATGCATGTGCATTTTCCATGGTAGGGAAGCACTAGTAGCATGTGAATCATTGTTTTTATGGTTTCACAATCAGTTTATCAGTATGACAATAGTATATTGCCTCTCAAAATTGTATTATGCAATCAAAATCTTATGGAATGTACATCATCTGTTGGTTACTTAAGAAAATCACTTGCAGGGTGCTTTCAAACTCACAGAAGTGAGTTTGCATCTGCAGTTTCAGGTTTGTCTTTTTTTTTTTTTTTTTGTGTGTGTGTGTGATAAAAGGGTTCATATGTGCTTATACAACTACTGAAGTTTGAATGGGCAAACATGGCCTGAAATCTAACTGGCCTCTTACTCCTTCTCATGAAAAGTTCCTTCCTGAGAAAGATCCCTCTTTTCTGGATCTGGATATCGTTCTGTTTCATGGTAATTAGCACCACAGGAGCACATCTGGAGATTTTACTTTCAATGTGATGGAAGTCAAGCACACTTACATGCTGCACTGGGATGATAATTTGTGCTGTCACAGAACTGATAGAATAAAAGGGGGTAAAAAAAGCCATGTGTCTCTTTATTTTGACATGCTTCAAATTTCCTAATTCTTCACAATCCATCTGTCTACTTGTGTATGAGAACTGTCTAGCAAGAGCTGTGACAGACAAACCAGCCCATGAAATTACTGCGTAATGCTTTGTAAAGTATGATATTTCTGCTTTTCCACTGAGATTGATTTTTGTCTCGAGTATTGCTCATTGAATTGATTTACATGTTTCTTAATGTCTTTTGCTGAAAACTTCAGAACAGGTAGGACTTCATTTAGTTTAGCCTTGTACAAATGTGTCTTACTCAGAGACACTGAAAAAGCTGTGCAGTAATGATTTGTCACAACCCTACTTAATAACGCTGAAGATCGTATATAACTAACATTAGTCACAGTTACATGCTTCTTAATCGAGGTTTCATAGAGTCCCAATTAACAAATCAGCCTTTAAGGTAATTCAGTTCACCTGGATCAGCCAGATTTATTGAAATGTGTACAGAAGTAGACATAATGTTTTCTAGACCACAGGGTTACAGTGGCCAGCTGTTTCTTCATGGCCAGTGTGTCTGTACTTCTGACTTCTGCAGTTTTGAATATCTTACATAAGCAGCAGCAATTTCTTTCTTAATCATATCAAGAATTTTTTTGTTGACACAAGGTAATTGTTCAGTAGTAAACGATGGGGAGCAGCTTTCCCTCTCATAACTCTCCCACCCCTAAGCTCTCTGGTCCTGCAACAAGCAGCTGTTTCTATATGAAGAAGGCTTTAGCTGAAGTTTGCAGAGATAATAGCCACATAATGCTAGGTGGCAAGGTCACTTGGGGACCACTGTCAGGCAGTTATGGGAGGGTGACTATCAGATGTGGAAATCTGGTGGAAGCTGGTGACTTCCCATTTCCCCTATAGACCTGCAGCTTTGAACATGGTATGGTGTCCTGGGCACAGGGGATGATGAGTAGCACCCAATCTCAATGTTGAAGCAAATATAATCTATTTGTGCACTGTTTTCTACCCTACTATCTTTAAATCCTTTTGTTTATTCAAAAGACAAATGATAAAATGTAATTAAACAAAGAAGGTAAGCAGTTCTAACAGGTAAGAGAAATAATATTTATGAAAAGCAAAAAACTTTTTTTTTTTTTCAGAATGATTTATTGTATTTCAAATTATCTGATCCACTCTTAGCTTTTTTTGTGTGTGTGTGACTCTACGAATACCATATTCTTACTTACTGTCAAGTTATTCTGGACTAAAATAAAATTGTATGAAAGAAGAACATTGCTGTCCAGTATTTGCAAACCTGTGTAATACTGACAGAGGTTTCCCTGCAGGACAGTAAGTCTTATAGTAACAAGTGACAAAGCTTAATATTTTTTGATACATCAGCAGCAAGCAGTTTAAGTTCAGAATGAGGGCAGGAAGTGGAGTTATGTTTCAGTACTTCATCAAAATTCTGTCAAAAAGCTATTCTTCAACCCTCAAAGAAGAAAGAGAAGCAATATTTAAGACAGGAAGAACAACTAAATGTGGAGATGATCAGAGCTAAACAATGCAAATTCTGTTGTGAGATGTTTCTTCCCAGTTGGAGAAAAGATATCAAATTTTAATGTTTGTTCTTTTTCTCTCAGTCAACAGAGAATAAATTATAAATATAGATGAGGATATGAACTGAGGTGAACTCTTTTAAGGGGAAGGAAAAAGAAAGCAAACTGAAATTTTCAAATAAAATTAAAAGTAGCCATGCTTCTCTTAACCACTGTGGAGCTGGGGGGTTGTATTACACACTAGAAGTAGATTTTCATATCCTAGGTAATATATTGCTTCTGTGTTAATGTAACTTCAGTAATATCAGGGAACTTAATCCTATAGCAACTTTTTGATATCAGAATTCAGTCCTGTATCACTGGAGTAATTGTCCTATTTGTCTCTTTATAGTAGAGATCTAATGGGATGTCTTGTAGGCAGAGTTATTGACAGGGTATAAGAAGGCATTGTGCATTTAAATATGCAATTTTTTTCTTTGTCCATGCTATGTACAACGTTGTCGTGCCTACTATAAATTTCAAAGCAAAGCTTAAGAGATTAGTGTCTGTCTGCTTGTCCCAGGGAGAAAATGTCAGCTCTGACCCTGAAAGCATGCCCAGCTTCAAGCGCTGTGAGGAACCTGCTTATGAGAGGAATCCACTTGCAAGAGGTGTATCTGAGCATTAGCAAGGGTTGGTGTTATGTGTTTTATACAATATAGTGTGTACTTGTACATGCTGTGTTCATCAAACTGTATTGCTTGTCTGATCAAATTCTATTAGAAAAAGAACTTACATTTGTTTATAAGTTTAGGATGAGCCAGTGTCTTCAATGATCTCATTAGAAGTTGAGAGAAAAAGGGATGATTGGCTCCTGAGCTGGATTTAGTAAGAGATTTAGGTACTTTGTTTTAGAGATGAGTTGATTAACATTTTTTTTTCTTTATTGTGAAATGATTATAACTCGGCTTTAAATTTTTTTTTCCTCACAAAAGCAGTAGAAGTATATGTGACTCTATGATTCCAGGGAGACAAGCTGTTAACCACCGGATCAGTACTGCAGACTATGTAGTTTGATATGATGCTCAAGTTTATAAGGAGAGCATTTGTATGGATTTAGGTTAGCAAATGCAAAATACACTTTCTTTTAATCTTTGCTCGCAGAAACAGTAGAAATATTCAGCTCAGAGGGCTAAAACTGTAAGCAGCTGAGACTAGGATCTGGTGTGAGAAGGGTTCAAAACGTTTTATCGTATTTGGTAGTTTTACTTATGTTTTACAAAGATGAGATCAAGAAAAAATAATTACACTCTTCCAGGTTTAAGTGATATCCTGAACTACTGAGAGTTTGCTTGATTTGCCTCTCCACCATCTGTGTGTTTTTTTTTTTTAATTGAAAAATAAAACATTCAAAACAGTTTAAATCTCTCTTAGAAATGGCATGGTGTGCCTTTCCAGGAAAGGTGTGATATTATTTATCTGTTTATGTACATTTATGTATGTCTGGGTAAATAAACATGTTGTTTATGCTTTGTTTGAAGCAGGGGGATATTTACTGCAGGTAAATAGTAATTAGATCAAAGCTTTCTCCCAAACTTTCATTAGAATTTTGTTGTATTTGCTTTAGGCAGAGCTGCCAAGCCAACCATTGATGCTACAGTGATCAGTCAACCCACAGTGCAGACAGCTTCTGATCTTTCTTGAAATAATTTGTTTTCAATGCAGTAACCTCACATGTCTCCAGAAGTCATCTCTTCCACTGCTTGTGGATAGCGGTGACATGGAGTGACTGGTGGCAGGGACAGACTGTATGCTCTGGACAAGGCTCCCACTACATTTTGATGCTATTGCCTCCTCTGTTCCATGTTTCTTTCCTTCCAGGCTGCCCTGATAGTTGCCCACATCAAGCCTCAAGTGAAACATCATTGACTCAGAGTTAGGTAACCTCAAGCATCAATGTAAACAGCAACTGGGGAGATCAATATCTTGAGCTAGTATAGGTACAACCAGAAAAGCTTAAATGATCAAATTCTGCAATGCCTTTCAAGGGCTGAAATATTTTTTTTGTTTTGTTTTGTTTTGTTTTGTTTTGTTTGTTTTTTTAAGATGAAAATAACTGAAGTGGTAAAACAAAATATGCTACTGAAAAGAATCAGAAGAATTAACTACTACAGTGCTACTGTCTAGTTCTGCTAGTGCTAGTGCTACTAGCAGTGCAGTAATGTACATGAAAGACTCATTCTGAGTTTGTTGTTCATCCTTGTGTACCTAGTAGCATTTCTGAGTGAATACACTTGGCAAATGTAGAGGAGGAATGTTTGATTATCTCTGAGGCATAAATAAAAGTGTCTGTTTCCAGGCAAAAGTTAGGCATGAAAACTCAATCTACAAAGTGCCAAATCAATCAAGAACTGGGCTTGAACTGTTAATGCTAAATAGCAAAAAAAAGAGCATTGCAGTCCCTATTATTATTTCTGTTCATGTATGTTCTTTTCCACAGAATCTATCCAGTGCCTGCTTAGGCTGC